ATAACAATCCTATCATTATCTTAATAGATTTAGAAATGCAATAGTGCCTCATGATTAAAATTGAACAAATTAGCTATAGAAACAACATAAGTGAACATGATAAAAACCACATGTAATGAGAAACTGTTAACATGATATCAAAAAGTGAAAAGGAATTTTTCTAAATTCTGGAATGACAAGGAAAATTGTTATGACCATTTATATTTTTAAAATAAAACTTTATATCTGGTTAAAAAAAGAGACAAGTATACCTATGTTTATTTGTTTTATTCAGCATACTTTTGGAACTCCTAGCCATAGTGATAAGGGAAGAGAGAAAAATGAAAGGTATCAAAAATATCCATCATCTTCTTTATATTTGAGGTAACAACATTTTAATAATTCCATCCTAACAAATTTGAAATGTGTAACTTATTATTTTATTGTTAGATGTAATCACCATGCTCTACAATGGATCTCAAAAATCATCTTTCTTAACTAAAACTTTGCACTGTGATCAAGACCTATATATCCAGAATCTAAGCTTCTATAACCACCAATCTAATCTCTATTTTTTTTCATTTCAACTATTTAGGGTTCCAAATACAGTTTAAAGTTTGTTCTATGTGGTTTTTTTTTTGGGGGGGAGGCCTGGTTTATTTGCCTTAGCATATTGTACTCTATCTTGTGGCAATGGCAAAATTATCTTCTACTTTAGGTTGAAAGGTAGTCCATTGTCCTTTATACAGTGAAGTATGCCTGTGATCTCAGTTATGAGGGAGGAAAATGATGGGTCAAGAACAGCCTGGGCAAAAATGCATAACCCTATCTGGAAAACCCTATCTAAAAAAGCAAAATGGACTTGGGGTATGGCACAAGTGGCAGATCTTTTCATAACAAGCTTAAGGCAATGAGTTCAAGCCTCAGTACCACACACACATACATGGACACACACACACATTCACAGTAATACACACACAGTAGTATAGACAGAATGCAGATGAAACTGTTTTTGAATAAATGATAGCTGAGTGTTCCCAAATCTGGAGAACGAAATGGATATCAGAATGAAAATCTTGTCTTGTTCTACATATAGCTTAAGTACAATGAATGTACAATTTCAATACCAATGTAAAAATGTCCATGAACAATGAACAGACACCCTAAAGGACAAGAATACAAAACAGATCTATGGGAAGGTGGGAAGGAGAAAGAAGGAAATAAAGAAGATGAATGTGGTTGATGAACTTTGTGAATAAGAATGATATCCTATGATATCTATACTCCACATTTGCTTATTCATTTAGATGTTGATGGGCATTTGTCTTGATTATGCATTTTGGCTATTCTGATTTATTGATGAGACAATGACATGAGGGTACAAATGTCTCTTCAGATACCTTACCTAATTTTTTATTACATACTCAAAAATGGAAATTCTGAATTATGTGGTAGTTCTCAATGTAATTAGGTTTTTTTTTCTAAATAGAGATTCAAGTTTATTAGAAATTCAGTATCTGACAAAGGTGACACCTTAAATCCCTGACACAAAGATGTACTTGTATAGCCATTTGGAAAATGTAAAATAATCTCACATACACACGAATAAATTCCAGATTCATTATGGATCCAAATGTAAAATTCTATAAATTTAAATGCCAGAAGAAGCTGTTGGAGCAGCTTATGCACTAGAGTGCTTGCCTAGGAAGCATGAGTTCAAACCCTCCTTCCCCCAAAAAAAATTTAAAAAAGGAAATAAACCATGAGAACTTTTTATTTACTTTGTTAATCTTTTATGTTTTATGTTTATATTTTATTATCACATTATTGTTGTACTGGGAGTATACTGTGACACTTACAAAAGTGCTTGCAAAATATCTTAGTTAAATTCACCCCTACATCATTATGCTTTATCTTGCCTTCCTCCATCCTTAAAATAGTTTCAACAGGTCTCATTTTTCCTTTTTCATATAAGAGTACATAGTGTTTCCATCATATTCATTCCCCTACAACCTTTCCTAATATCCCCCTACACTGGTGCCATCCCCCAGACAGAATCTGTTTCACCTCCCTGTCCTCTGTTTTTGAAAAAAAAGGCATTTTGTTTGTTTGAGATATCGATATAGGGAGTTTCATTATGATATTTCCATGTACACATCCTGATTTGGTTCATCCCCTCTATTTTTTTATGGTGGTTTCAACAGTGTAAAAATTTTATCCTTGTTCTTATTCACAAAGTTCATCAACCACATTCATCTTCTTTATTTCCTTCTTTCTCCTTCCCACCTTCCCATAGATCTGTTTTGTATTCTTGTCCTTTAGGGTGTCTGTTCATTGTTCATTCTTCCCTTGTTTTTGGTGACTTTGGCAGATTTCATAGTTTAAGTGAGATATTTTTAGTTCAATTCCTCCATTGAGGCTTGTCTGATACATTTTTTCAAGATTAGTCAACAATGTGGGGTTTGAGGAGAAATGTCAAAGAAGCAAAGTGTCATTTTCATTATATTATATGAATGGGCAAGTGCAATCAGCATGACTTAATGCTTGTGATGTTAACCTTGGCCTCTTGACAACAGTACTGTTTTTTATTAATCTGTCTCTTCTATGTCACCTGTATTCTTTGGAAGGAAATCACTAAGTGTCCTCCATACGTACAGATATAGAATTATCTTCTAATTCTCTGAGGCCACAGACACAAAACATTTTTGAAATTATATCCTTGGGAGATTTCTCTGTTATCCTCCTTTGATTTAATTATTTAAACAATTATTTATACTGTACATTATATTATACTTTACTAGTTTTCAGCACTGTGTCATTTGTTTTGCTGCTCACATTCTTTACAGCCTTGGACATGATAAGCTATTTGAGTTGACTTGCACCTCCTTGTTTATGCCCACCACCAGGTGTGTTGTGTGCCTCTTTTAGCCCTCCTTTCTTTATATCACTAGAAGACAATCCAGTTCATCCTGTACATTCTCAGCCAAGACCTAGAATCAGGTATTTCTTCAAAAGCACTGATAATTTTATTAGAAACAAAATGCTGGCCACGGTACATTTTTCCCTTCTTACCAAAATATGTCATTTATTGTTAATTAGCATTTGTAATTGAAAAAATAGTCCACCTCTATTTCCTTAATCAAATACCCTGAATTGAGAGGGTAGGGACCTGAGGGAATGATGTCCCCAAACTCCTGTATTTTGTATCATTCATGTTAAATATGTCTCTAGTGAACCTAAAAGGGGGAAAAATGGTCAGTCAGATTCATGTGTAATGTTGAATGTCTCAGAATGCTAAATGAATCTAGAACCAACTGAAAACATAAACTTCTTTGTGAGTTTGAAGAGCTCCTGAGTCCAGAAAAATCAGATATTAATCTGATATCATTTGAAAAATTATCATTTGAGTAAGCAGTCTCTGACTATTTTGGGAAGATAAAAGGGCAACTCAACATTATAACATTGCATAAAGTCTTCCCAAAGATGGTCAGATTATACTAATGTACTTGCGCTTTATTGTTGCAGAATATTAATCAGATTGATATCAGCCAGAATATAACACATATCAGGCATGCTTAGTGACTTTTATAGACAGTGCTTACAATCAAAGCACTCAAGGTAGTTTTTGATGGAAATGAACAGTAGTAATAAAGGACTGCTGATAATAAAAGGGATGTTAGTGATAATGACATAGAAATCATATCTGTTTGGGGTTGCATGAACAAGATGATGCTCATATGAATGACGTACGGATGCAAACATCCCTCTTATTACCATGGCAACTAAATACAGAATTGGATGGAACACAATTGATATGCATGTGTAGGGAGTATTAGTTCTATGACTTTGCTGTGCCCTGATATGTATGTATATCCTTGATATGTTTACAGTTTGTAAAAAGTAAAAATTATGTGTACTATACAAATTTGTCAGTATGTCCACCTTGTACCTGTTGACTTATCTTTCATGGTGTGAATAGATAAATGTATTAGATAAATGTATTGCTATGGATGTGAATACAAATGGGGTTTATTTTAATGTGGCTTAATACACAGAACCCCAAAATATTTTTTCATTTGTTTTCTAAAGAGACTTCAGAAAGTACACATTTGGAGTACATTCAATAAGCCATTGAACCTGTAGTTATTGCCAGTGTGATGGTGTATGATGGTTTTAAAGGACACTGTTTCACCACTGTTTCCATAGATGACACATCATCTTACTCAAGCTTCTGGAGCTCAATGTTGCCCAAGATTTCACGGTGCCTCCTGTGCACAAGAGAAGAGAGTTCTCATGGCTCAGTGATATGGTAATGTGATTTGGTCTCTCCTAAGGTACAGCTTCTTTAAATCTTTGTTTTTAATGCACTAAGGCAGGAACACATTTTCCTATATTGCCAATGTTTATATTTCAAAGATATTTTATCTACAATGCTAAGGATGTTCACAGAGACTGCAAATATTATGCTTTTATTAATAGAATAATTAATATAATTCATATGTGAATGTGTATGTGCAACATAAACTTTTGCTAATGAAAATGTTTTCATCCTCAAACCTTAGCATACTATATTGAAATCTTGAGTTTCAATTGACAACAAGTTTTAGAGAGAATTATATATAATATATGGAATTATATATTCTCAGCCAAGACCTAGAATCAGGTATTTCTTCAAACTCACTGATAATTTCATTAGAAAAAAAATGCTGGCCACTGTACATTTTTCCCTTCTTACCAAAATATGTCATTTATTGTTAATTAGCATTTGTAATTAATCTTCACTTGAAGATGCACTTGTTTTTTCATTATTTGCATGTTCAATATTTCAAATGTAGTGATAAATTAATACATTGATATTTTTAGAAAATATAGTTTTCCTATGATAACTCATAGGAAACTTTTAATTTCATGACTGAGAATGTATATTCAACCTTGGAAAGCAATATTTATTTTACATATTTTTGTTTTCTCTTTTGTAGATTCTTTTAACAAACTTATGATTTACCGCATGGACTGGAACAATGGATCAAAACAACAGTGTATCTGTGTTTATATTGTTGGGATTGACCCAGGATCCTCAGAGGCAGAAAATGGTGTTTTCAATCTTCTTGATTTTCTATGTGGGAACCATAGTGGGGAATCTGCTCATTATTGTGACTATCAAGTCCAGCAAGACACTTGGGAGCCCCATGTACTTTTTCTTATTTTATTTGTCCTGTGCTGATACCTGCTTTTCAACATCTATAGCCCCTAGACTAATTGTCGATGCCCTCTCTGCCAAGAAAGAGATTTCCTACAATGAGTGCATGACACAAGTTTTTGCACTACATTTATTTGGAGGTTTGGAGATCCTTGTTCTTGTCCTGATGGCTGTTGATCGCTATGCAGCCATATGTAAACCCTTGCACTACCCCACCATCATGAGAAGACAGGTTTGTCGCATCTTGATTGTTCTTGCTTGGATAGGGGCTTTTATACATGGCACTACTCAGATTATTCTGCTCTTAAGATTGCCATTCTGTGGACCCAATTTGATTGACCATTACTGCTGTGATTTGCAGCCCTTGTTGAAACTTGCTTGCATGGACACTTATGTGATCAACTTGTTGTTTGTGTCTAACAGTGGGGCACTTTGCTCATGTAGTTTCATGATTTTGATGATCTCATACATTGTCATTTTGCATTCGCTGCGTAACCATAGTTCAGAAGGGAGGAAAAAAGCTCTCTCCACTTGTACTGCCCACATCATTGTTGTTGTGTTATTCTTTGGTCCCTGTATATTCATATATACACGACCTCCAACCACTTTACCTATTGACAAGATGGTGGCCGTATTCTATACCATTGGAACACCCTTTCTCAACCCACTTGTTTATACACTGAGGAACACAGAGGTGAAAAATTCTATGAGAAGGTTATGGCATGTTAAAATCATGACTGAATAAGTGCGCTTGTCAATTATGTCTAAATATTATATGTAATATACTATCTTATACATATGTCTTAATTCTTTAAGTTTTCAGTTCATAAGTTCTATGAATTCCGAGATCTGATCTTTTGTGCCATAACTAGCTAGACTGTAAAGCAACTCAGATCCTTCTCATTTCCACCCATGTAGTTTCCAAGCTTTGTAATCTATTTAATGCATTTGATTTGCTTTCTCATTTTCTGTGTTCTGGCCATAGACTTGTAACTTCCATGAAATCTTAAGTTTTGCTCTTTCTTTTCTAAGTGCTGAAATCTTGCATTGCTCACTATGAATTATATGTCAAGCTTTGTCCACAAATTGCTTTTATAAGGAAAGAGAACTTTGTAATAACAATTCTTCAAACTTTTGAGTTTCCATTAATATAGTACAATTCTCTTTATTCAATTCCTTCTATCATACATTTCCTATAAATATTGACCTTGCTTCAAATCACTTCTAGAGCAATATATCTAAGTCAGCTTATCAAGACTGCATGTTTCATTTAATCACCAGTTTGTAATTGAATAGTTCTGTGTGCTTGAATCACAGGTTGTTCCTGTGTTATGATACCTAAATTCATTTTCTACTATTTTCATTCTTATAGTAATACATCTGGAATATTATTTATGAGATTTTAAGATGTACTTTTATAAACCATTGAAATATTTAAGTATACATTTGATTAGTGTATTGAAAGTATAGTGATGACAGAATTCTGAGATCTAAGGGCTAGATTAGCGGAACAATGCATGTTCTTAAATATCTTTTAAATATTAAATTCAATTAAAAATTTAAAGGCAATGCTTATACAACATATTTTTCAAAATTAACTGAAGAAATGTATAAACTTGTTTAAAGCTAAAAAGGGACTTTTTTGTGTTTAAAGTTGGTGACATCAATGAAATTAATGAAATCACCATAGGCATTGAGAAAATATTCATAATTATCTCTAATTAGTGGGGTTAGAGAAAACTAATTACTACAGCAGCAAGCCACTTTCTCTCTATATTTGAATTGTCTTAAAAGGGTTTCTTTAGAGTAATAGGTTGAATTACCTATGTATTATTCATGCCAAAATTTCACAGAGCAAATTAATAGCTCCAATGTAGTTATGTATGCCCTGCCTTATGTCATGAACTGTTAGGATTCACTGATTTTGTGTCCTGAAATGTATGCTGTCTTTAATAACTGTTTTCATATTCCATTTCTTTTTTAATCTTGTTCCTCAATGATTGGGAAAATACCACATATTTGAACTCTGTCTCCTATTAAATACAGTTTTTGAACACATTTAGCAAAATAACATAAGGTTTTTTAATACTCCCTTGATTTCCTGAAATTTAGTGAAGCATATTGTTCACATTGGTCTCCCAAAGTTGGTTTGTCAGGCATAAAGATGACCATATATTAAATGGACTATGAAAATGTATGTCCTTTTATTTACCTAATCTTTTCTTATATAGCACTGACACAGAGGTAGTCACCCAGAATCTATGAAGGTTAATATGTTGATGTATATTTCAGAAGAAGAATTAAAGTTTGGAAGTACAAGGAAAGAAGTAAGTGAAAATGTAAGTAAATAAGTTAAGATTGGAATTTAATTAAGAATCTATGTAGGAAAGGAAAAACTGGAAAAATTTGTGAATTCCAATACAATTTGTAGTCAAATCAAAACCTGGGAATATGGAGGAAAATAATTTTTTAACTCTGTGGCGAGCCATCGAAGGGATGATTTTGAAGTGACCATCCATCTTTCATACCTGATTGACCTAAAAAAATTAAATCTAATTATCCACTAATAATAATAACAGGATAGTTTTCTCAATGACTTTTAATCATATTTGTATCTCACTAAAGAGTTCTGCTGAAAGGTGAAGTTTTCTAGTTCAAAATTTAAAGGTAGAGAAATAAATCCCTTGATGTCGTTTAGTTATGAAATATCAGAATTATAGATTTAAACCAGTTTATCTTTTTTCAATTTAGATGCTATTTATCCCTTAAACTAAACATATTTTCAAATAGCCTAAAACACAGGAAACTTTTGAATGCTGATGACTGATCACCAACTGCACTCATGTTATCTGTAAGGTGTGGGAAGAGTAATATTCCAGAGCATGAGCTCTAGGCTTACACTGTAGCTCAATGGTAGAGCTCTTGATGGACAAGGTCTTGGGTTCAATCATTTGTTCTGCAAAAAAAATTTTTGAGATCTACAATTACACTGCATGAATTCAAATTTTGGTTCTACCAGTTCTTAGACTTGTAACTTTAGGAAAACTTCATGAAATCATAGGCTTAGTTTTGATCAGTAAATCAGAAATGGAAATACTTCTTATTTTGTGGGTTTGTTAAGGAGATTTATGCAGATGGCACTCAATGTTCCATCTTTGTACATGCATGTTAAGTACGTCAACATTATCCACCCTCCTTTTCCCTCTCCATCCCCCATTCCCTCCTTCTGGTGTGTTCCCACAAAAGGACATTTCACATTCCTGTAAGTATACATTCATGGTTCAAGGATTTTGTCTGAGATTTCACCTGTGAATATATTGCATGTTATTCAGTCTAACCCCCATTACACTTCTTTATCCTTTACCCCAGCCAGTATTGTTCGCCAGCTTTCAGTATGTTTGGTTGTGCCTTTTGCTTACACAGGTGTGATGTATATTAACATTGTCAATCTCTACCATTCTCTTTTCCTTTCCCTCCTCTCTCTAGTCTCATCCTTTAGTCCCATTCATGGAAATATGTTCTGTATGTGTGTTTATAAAAGATCATGCTTGTTTGTGTATACAATTATTATTTGGATCTATCGTCCACATATGTGAGAATATTCAACCTTTGTCTTTTTTAATGTAACTTACTTCACTTAAGATAGTGAGCTCCAGTTCCATCCATTTATCTGCAAATGACATAATTGCATTCCTCTTTATGGCTGAATAATACTCCATTATATCCACTATGTGTATATATATATATAATCTATAATATGATATACATATTATTCCCTTATATATAATATTCCATTATATATATTTTTGATATATGTGTGTGTCGTAACTTTTAGAGGAAAATGATGGTGGGGATGTAACTAATCAAGGTACTTTGCTAGCATATATAGAAGGTCACAACAAACTCCCCTGTATGACTATTATATGCTAATAAAAATGTTTTTAAACAGTCAAGCTCCAGAGCAATATTTACATTTACACAATGAAGGTAAATAGTCATAAAAAGGAGATAGTGCTCAAAATGATATTATATAAAATGAAAATTTATTATATGTTTTTATTCATAAAATACATTTTGCACAACAATAGTAACTAAGTTTTATAGTTATATACACCATATACATATACATTTACTGGAAATGTCACACTCCAAATTCAGAGGATATAGTTTATAATTGCAGGGAAATAAAAATGAACTGAAAATATAAGTCAAATGTTACCCCTCCTTTTTTAAAACAGTTTGCAAAAAATTTATCATCATATTTAATTTCAGTAACAACAAAAGAGAATTAGTTCACATTGCTCTTTTTATGGCTGGTTTTGGTAAGACACAGATTGGAGAAATAGCTAAGGTTCAACATTTAATTCCATCTAAGGTAATATTCCCAATTGTCCTCCAACTACAATAGGACTATACTCCATGTACAAGAGTTTAATCAGATATAAATTACCTAGACAAAATTATATGAGCAAAAAACCTTGTATATGAATTTTCAGAGATTGCATTCTTTACAATTAGTATTTATTAACTAAACAGAGTAACAGAATTCACTGGGATATTTCAACACATGCATAGATCATGAGTGCAGCAAATCAGAGTTATTAGAATCTTTCTCTCATTGGTTTCTTATGTTTGGAGTCTTTATGCTTCTTTCTTCCAGATCTTCATAAAATATATAACTGGCTTTATTGTGAATTAAAGTAATCCCAATTGTGGAAAACCTGAATGTATAAGCATATTTTGTGACTTTTACTTAGAATCCAGGAAAATAGAATATAGACCCATAGATTTGGAGAAAATATTTGCAGAAAACAAGTCTGAAAATTTATTACTTCCAAAAATATACAGAACTCTTTAAGTTCAATAATATGAAAATGAAAAACCTGATTAAAATGGTCAAAGTATGAGAGTACAGCTCAATAAAGTAGATACTCATAGCATATTGGTTAAAAGTGAATTTTGGTTCCTATTTCCACACATGAAAAAAATTCAACAATACATAAGTACCAATGTATATTTATGAAAATTCCAGAATTCACTTAAGAAGTTGTAAGGATCCACAGCAGTACAAATGAAAATGCTATTCACTGAAATGAATAAAATTAATATAATAAAACCCACAGCATCCCTTTCACAAATCACACCAATAGTGATCACAACTTCCCACTTAGTGAGTAGTAGAGAAAGAATGTGAAAATTGTTCTATTTCCAAAGATTACCATGTACCTCCTGAGAGGCTAGTTTATGTCTTACCTCACAAAGGGCACAGAACATAATTGGTTTAGCCCACATGACTAAGAAAGCTTGGGAGGCAAGCATATCATTTGGCTCTGTGCAAGCCTTAAATAAAGCAGAACTGTGGCTCTTATCCAGGAGAGAGCAAAGGCTGGAATTTGCACTAGCATCCCTCAACTGTCAACGAGGCCCGCCCATTCTGCGTAGGACTTATGTTTGCCCAACAAATAATGCTTAAGAAGTCAGCACAGTCTGAGCACCTGTGCTAGCTATGGCTGGCATAGCTCTATGAGATTGAGAAAGGGCACAGAAGTGAGGTTTACTCACTCTGAGGGAGGCTGAATGATAGAGCATGACCTCAATATTATTTGGCATTTATTAACCTTACCATGTGGGGAGGTTCTCTGTAACCCCCATAGAGTGTTGACTTGCGCAGACAGAGAACACAGAGAGTAAGAGCTTTTGGTCTTCTGAAAAATCAGAATGGAGACTTGAAAGAACCTAGGAAAA